TACGTGGAGGGAGTCGAAGACCAAGGTCCTTGTCTCTGAAACAAAGTGCTGTATAACAGCATTCAACAAAAAGAGCCAACAAAATACCATCCTCTACTTACTGGCATGGGGACCTCCTTTTGTTCCTGGAAACTGAACTAATACCTTACTCAGACATGGCACCACTGTGAGAGTGTGACCTGCAATATGGAACAGGTCCTCTGTACCTGAAAATCAACCCAGTCCTGTCCTTAAGTTCTAGATTTCCCCTCACCACCACCACTAGCCTCCATATACATGTCCCATGACTTGTGTTTTCCAAAAGTTTTCTATTTGTGCAGTGAAAGCCAGTTTTAACCCTTTCAGGGCTAACCCTGAGAATTCTCAGACTTAGTGGAGGAGTATGGGTCTAGATCCATGGAGCCACTTTGGGATAGAGAAGGAGAAAGCCTGATACAACAGGAATGGCAACTGTTACCCCTTCACATATGACCTATACAGAGGACGTGTTCTGTATTCATTCAGTACAATTGCATCTACATCAAAGAAACTACTAAACTATGGTGATGAGATCATTTGAGTTGTGGTGTGCAGCTTTCAGTCCTTGTAAATAAAATATTCCTTCACTCTTTTAGACCCGCAAAATCCTGTCTGCCTGTGAGAAGAACCCCACAGATGCCTACCAGCTCAATTATGACATGCACAACCCTTTTGACATCTGTGCTGCATCTTATCGGCCCATCTACCGTGGAAAGCCAGTGGAGAAGTGTCCACTCAGTGGGGCCTGCTATTCGCCTGAGTTCAAGGGTCAGATCTGCAGGGTCACTACAGTAAGTACTGTCCTTGAGAAATACATCTAGAATTCTGTCTTGAGGGAAGGACCAACTAGCATGTTGGTCCTTTTTGTCTCCTGTATTTCCCCCTCACACCTTGAGGCAGTGACACTGGAGGAGGGTAGAACTTCCCACTGCTCCTTCCAGTCAGTAACAATAACAAACCACTCTACTGTGCTCATTGAGGTGTGGAGGGAGTAGGCTTTCTAGGCTTCTCACCTTCACAAATCCCTAACTTTCTTCTATTTCTTCTTCCATAGGTGACAGAGATTGGCAAAGATGTGATTGGTTTAAGGATCAGCCCTCTGCAGTTTCGCTAAGGCCTGCTTCATGTGTGTAGGGTTAAGCACCGTGTTTTCCCGCAGACAGTTAGTCTTTATATCCTTCTAACTCCTTCTTCCTCAACTACCCTTCATATTATTGATGTTTAGCTCTCTCTACCCTAAAACCTAATGTCCTTTTCTCTTCTTCTATGGCTAATCAAAATGTCTAAACCTGACCTTTTTTTTTTTTGCCTCTGAGGACCTCTCATCTCAAGGTAACTACAGTTGTGGTCACGATTGGCCTTGCCTTCCCAGCTTAGATCTTTCAAAGAACATTTGTGATGAACATTTGTGAAATAAATTCCTGCTATATTTATTCCTTCCCTCCCCACCACCTTTGTGTACTTTTTGTTAGAAAGGAATGAGATGTAATAAATAAGATAGCATCTTTTACTCAGTCATAACAAGCTGTCAGCCATCCCCGTTTTCCTTGGGCATTTAAACTCCGAGGCAGATATCCTCTGTGTGGCCAGAAACTTAAAATCTGAGAAGAAACTATTTGATTTTCCAGAAATGGACATCACTTTTTGTTGACTTGTTCTTTACAAAGATTGTTCTTGTATTTTGTTTCTCACACTAAATAAATAAATTTCTACAAGAGTTTTGTGGCTTGCCATTTGTTTCCTGGATACTGTCATATTCCTACTTACTCCATGTAGCTGCCCCATCAAAGCAGATACCTTTCCTTCAATAATTATTTTTAATTACAAAGGTAATAAATACCTATATGTTTTTTAAAGTACATATTTTTCATAGGATGTAGTGAATTGCTGTGAGAATGGTAGAAAGCAAGTAGTTCCCCTATTCCATTATTGACTGCAACCTTCCATCTATTGCTAATTATAGAGTGTATACATTGAGCACCTGCCATGTACTTGGTACTGTTCTAGATGTTTTATGTGATATATATGTGATTAATTAGTAATACATTGTATATAGTACAGCAATTACAATGGCAATACAGAATTTTGCTTGTCATGTACTAAGATTAATTCCATAGAGTGATGTACTGTGCCTTTGATTAAAATATATACTTTTTTTCATTTTAAATTCATGTTTTCAATAAACAATACATTCATATAGTTCAGAAATCAGTAAATGTAAAAAGCTATTCTGTAACATCTTCCTCCCACCTTTTTCGTCAGCCACCTAGTTCCTATCGCCTTCCCCAAAACAGGTAACTGCCATTGTTAACTTCCTTATATCCTGCCAGAGATTTTTTGATGTATAAACAAGCAGTTATGAATATGTTCTTCCCTATCCCCCTGTTATACCTAAATGGAAGCATACTAATGATTTTAAGTTGCCTTGTTATTCATGGATATGTGAGTTATTTCCATTCTTTGGATATTATATACAGTGCTGCAATGAGCAACTTGAACATACATTGGACGGATGTGGAAAGTGAATCTGAGGATAAACTATAAGTGTAATTCCTGCTGTCAAAGAGGGCAGGGCTTTGTATCTTTTTAGCTTTAAAAGATACTTTCTTAAACAGAATCCCCAAATTAAGCCTGCCCTCTCAAAAATTTGCACGCTATTTTCATAACACTTTCTCAAGTTATAAACATTCTTTCTGTAACCATAGGCAAGTTGATGAAAAATTTGGCAAAATGGCAAAAATTTTCTGTAAATTTAAAATAAATTATAAAATTAATTTTGCATACCAACATAAACATTCTGAACTGAGGGATATGAAAAAAGTGGACAGTCCTCATGAAGCTTATGTAATTGGGGAAACAAAATGGATACATGTGAAATAATTAAATACCAGGAAAGAATTTGAAGTTGGTTAATAAACAGTGGACAGCCATTAAGTCCTTACTTGAGAGAGTGATATAAAGAAAATGTTGTAAAATACTGTTTTGCAACAGTGTTCACTATACGTGAAAGGTGGGAGGTGAGTAAATACTGAGATGAGGTGTTAGGCTTATCAATAGTAAAGCAAGTTTAAGAAATAGTGCAAAGGAAGAATCGTGCTTATTTTCAACTCCATCTTAATTCTTTTATTTACCATCTGATGTTTTCCTTATTAACATACTGATATTACCATATTAATGTAAAGCCAATATAAATACCTGTAATGTGTGCTTGATATAGTCATATTAGAGATTACACATGTAAGCAGTTTGGAGTTGAATGAGAAAGTTAACCTGGAATAGATGTTACAGATGTTTGGGAGAAAGAGATTAATCAGGGAAGGACCTTAGAGTCCCAAATGTAATGTTACATATTTGTAATATGAGTCCTAGAGTGGTGAAGGGTTTTGAACAAAGCAATTTAAGAGTTGGGACTGGAATTTAGGTCTTCTGACTCCAGAGTGTTTTCTCCCAAATCACAGTACTTGTGCCTGGAAGAACACAGTAGGTTTTGCACAGGTATTTTAAAAGTCTGTGCCCTGTATGTCAAGGAAAGAGTAAGTACCTAAACTGGTGCTTGACACAAGTACTCAAGTGTGTGTTTTGGAAGCTAAGGATGAAAGTCATGACATAACTTTTTTCATTTAGTGTGATTTCTCCCTTTTAAACTTTATGGTACTTTATCCTTACTTCTTATAAGACACTTAACCTTGTGCCATACTTACTGTGTGTATGTCTAATCCTACCTCCAGCCTAATCCCCAGTCAACTACCTTACAGCAAGGGCTGGTCCTGATTTCTCTCTCTGCCCTCCACTGTGCCCAGCATAGGATATTAAACAACAGCAGATGCCTTCCAAGGGCTGAGATAGGTTTGTCAGGCAGTTGATGCATTCTCACAGATCTGAATAGCACAATTCCAGAGGAGGGAAGGGATGTCTGGAGTTGTCTATCTGAGTGTCCTCCAACTACACTCGACTGAGTTCTGCGAAGAGAAAAGGAGATAGGTCAGGGAAGGCAGGTCTATTACCACTACATTCCAATTGCCTCCTTGCTTAGTCCAAGGTCCAAGAGTCGCTTTTTCTGCCTGATTTAATTAACCAACATTGAGTTCTAAGTTATTGGCACTGTGACAGTTTTAGTGAGGTGCAGGGAAATCAGAGATATCCACTAGATTCTGCAGAGAAACATGCCTCATCAGGGCCTGGGAAAGCAAAGAGCAGCCAATGAGTGCCCAAGTTTTAGTCCCTAGCCTAGGAGCTGGGGATGCAGCAGTGAACACGACAGATGAAAATCCTTGCTATCATGGTGCTTAAATTCCAAGGGGCTTGAGAGGAGATAACGATAAATAAATAAAATATATAGTATGTCAGATAGTGGTAAGTGTTGAGAAAAATAAAGAGGAAAAGTGGATAGGAAGTGTATATGTGTGTGTGGGAGGGGTTGCAATTGTACTTAGTGAGGCCAAATAAGGCATTTCAGAGAAGATGACGTTTGAGTAAAATACTGAGGGAAGTGAGAGGAAACTAGCATGTTGGGTATGCCGTTAACTATCGTTATTGATTACACATGCACAGCTTCTGGTTGTTCGTAGGCAGTTTGTCCCAAGTTGGCCTACCCACAGTTCAGGAAGAATAATAAGCCAGGTAATGCGGGCAGTTGAAAGAAAGGAGGCCAAGCCAGTAAGAAACCTGGCAGAAGGTAACAGTAAATTCCCCTCTGTTGGTTCTACGTCCCTAGAGAAAGAGTGGAAGAAAAAAAAAAAAAGAATCGAAGCTTCCTGTCCCTTTAAAAATGGCGGCCCGGCACGGGCCAACAATGCCATTGGCTGCACGAGGCAGAGGGGGAGGGCGCGGGGGGTGGGGCGCAGAGTCCTGCCTCCTACGGCGCGGCGGAGGTGGCAAGATGGCCGCGGCCGAGGAGGATGGTGGTGTTGGGGCTGAAGCCGACCGGGAATTGGAAGAGCTTCTGGAAAGTAAGAACCCGTAATGGGAAAGGCCCGAAGGGGGCGGGTGTAAGGATCCCTTCAGGGGGTTAGGTGAACCTGAGGTATTTGGGGCGGAGCAGGAGAGGTTCTCCAAAGGTTGGTCGGCGGCGGAGAGTCTGCGACCCCCGAGATAATCTCTGGGTCACCCTCTCCTTCGCGGCGGGAGCTGAGGAGCTCGCTTTGGGTCCCTGAGCGGCCCAGACCGTTGATTTCCTTGCTGGAGGGGAAACTAACCCAGAGGACGATGTTTCACGATTCCACTCCAAACTCCCCTTACTTTTTAGATTAGTAAGTTCTTAAAGTCTGACTTTCTCCCCGCCGGCAGCAGCCTTCGGTCCTCGGTGGGCCGCGAACCGGACATCCACGGATCGCTTCCATTAACTCTTAGCGAGCCCGAAGTGCGTCCTTCTGTGCACTGTCCTGTTCTCCTTAACACAGAAGACACGCCTTTCCTTCTCCCAGTCCTTTCACCTTTCTCTCACCAGGCCCCTTTCCAGTTCTTTCATCATGTCAGAGCTCAAACACACTCCTTCCCATTATTTTGAAAAACAGGGTGAGACGGCCTCTGGGGAAGACAATTCACCCTCTTAAAAGAGGGTGGCTGTACTTTTCCTCCTTAGCCCTGTTTCTTGCCCAGAGTGGGGCCGCTGCCCTCCCCTTACACTTAGAGTCTGGCAAGCAGAATGGTGGTGAGGACAGAGGCTTTTCAGGGAAGAGGTGAATATTTTTTTGTTTCTTGCTCAGTCACAGACAGAGTGGGCAGGCGGAAAGATGAACAGAAATTGTGAGAAGTGCTAACTGACTGTGTGAGTCTGCAGAGAGGAGGCCAGAGGGAGCTCTAAGAGCTTTGGGGAGGGAGAGTGAAACTGGAAGATAAGGGAGTTCAGTGCCCTCCCATGGAGTGTAATATGGAGTCCCTCAGTTCATACTAGTACCAGGACCCATGGGGAGCTAGGTGAAACATCTTGTGGCTTCAGCTTTCTTGCCAAAGATTATTCCCTTTAGGGCTCCAGAATGAATTCAGGGGGTTAAGGACATCTGTGTTCTCTGCTCCCCTTGGATATCTGTATGGGATTTCTAGGAAGGCACTGTATAGATGGAGATGTCTCTGCAGAAGTTTTAACTCTCTCCTCCCAGCTCTGAGAGAGATGCTTGTTCCACCTTAAGAGATTTCTTCCCCTTTGATGACAATAAATTAGGTAATGGGGTGGGAAGTGGGAGGCTTATTGAGGGGTGGGTCAGGAAAGGGAGACTCAAAAAAAGGAGAAAATTTAGGAAAGTTGACAGTTTGAAAGACTGTCCTCTTAATGCTTTGCCCAGAAACTCCCCAGCCTTGCATCCTCATCCATCCCCGAATACACGCCGTGTTTCTTGTTTCTGAAGGTGCTCTTGATGATTTTGATAAGGCCAAACCCTCTCCAGCACCCCCTCCTACCGCCACAGCCCCTGATGCTTCGGGGTCCCAGAAGAGATCGCCGGGAGACACTGCCAAAGTATACGTTCCACCCACTTAAGGGATGGGGGGGCGGGCAGTGGGCATGCAGCTCTGAGCAGAGGTTGGGCAGGCCCCTGTAGGCCAGAGGGGAGGTGGGGGAGGTGCCTTGGCCTCACATTGCTGAGTGCTCTTGCAGGCCTCAGTCCTTGTGAAACAGGGACTTCAGATTGAGTAGAGGGATCTCAAGGAAGTTCTTTAAGAAAAGAGCAGATTTAAATGGTTGGATTGGGAGTGACACTCCATACCGTTCCCTCAGTGGCCAGATACCTTTTTGCTGCTCTTAGTAAGAGAGGTAGTCAGAATGTCCAGTGGAGGTGGGTAGGAGGGAAGCACTGCATTTCCCAGAGCCACTGCCTGTGACTTTTGTCAGAGGCCATGTGCAGTGGAGTGCCAAGTAAGAGATGCACTTAGGCCACGTTCTCCCCTGCAGGATGCCCTCTTCGCCTCCCAAGAGAAGTTTTTCCAGGAACTGTTTGACAGCGAGCTGGCTTCCCAAGCCACTGCAGAGTTCGAGAAAGCAATGAAGGAGTTGGCTGAGGAAGAGCCCCACCTGGTAGAGCAGTTCCAAAAGCTCTCAGAGGCTGCTGGGAGAGTAGGTGAGGAGGGGACCCCAGACAACTGAAAATGTCTGAGCAAACCTCCTAGGTCATTGTTGCTTGAGGACACCAAACTTTGTAAAGTTGACAGCAATTATGATACCACTGCCATGGGATGGGGGAGGAGATGGGAGGAGGCATGAGACCCTGTTTAATGAAAAGCATGAGATAAGTTGGAAAGTAACAGAAAAGATTATTAAAAAGTGACCATTTTAAAGGTCACAGTGTTAATGTGGGTGTCATTGTGGAGAACAAACTGACACACAGTTCATGTAGTTTTATGAAAATAACTATGAAGATAACCATAGAGTATTCAAAGATGTGGAGTGCTAGTGATTCCCTAATAAATGCTCCATATCCAAGCTGGTAACCAGGTCAGTCTAGGCAAGCAAACAGTTAAAATCCTAAATGACCTTGGCTCTTTTCATCTCTCCTAGGCAGTGATGCGACTTCCCAACAAGAATTCACTTCTTGCCTAAAGGAGACATTAAGTGGACTAGCCAAGAATGCCACTGACCTTCAGGTGAGGGGGAAGAGATAGGGAACCACAGGGGGCCCACTACTAGACACTTCACCAGCAGAGTCTCAAAAGGCAGACTCTTGGGTATCATCTCAAGTCTGTCCCTGCCTGACTACTTTGCTACAGGCAAGTTTAAATAGTTCTTTCCCACCTGAAAGGTTGGTGAGCATCCCAAGAAGGTAGTATACTTGCTCACCTCCCTTCTGTCCTTTCTAGAACTCTGGCATGTCAGAAGAGGAGCTGACCAAGGCCATGGAAGGGCTGGGCATGGACGAAGGAGATGGGGAAGGGACCATCCTCCCCATCATGCAGAGTATCATGCAGAACCTCCTGTCCAAGGATGTGCTGTACCCGTCACTGAAGGAGATCACAGAAAAGGTTTGTGAACTTCTATTTATGCTTTTCCTCTTTGTTCCCCATTGTATCAGCTCCTGTGAGCTGCTTTGTCTATTTAGAGCCTGCAGAGATAGAGTAACTCAAGTGTACAGGTTCATCTATTTTTTTCTCCTTTATTTATTTGGAGGGGGAGAGTTAGGGAGGAGTTGCATCTCCAAGAGAATAAAGCTACCATACTGAGGATGTTTAAGGTAGAAGGGGAAATCCTTCAGCTCTAGTTTTCTGTAAATTGGTCTAAGTCTCTGTTGTTGTCTGATAAACCTTTCTTGCATTTCCAACTTCATTAATTTCTCCAATAAGGTTTCACTGAGGATTTACTGGCTTTATGCTGTTAACAATTTTTAAGAGTAGTTTAAATGATGGTCTCTGCCATCACAGAGCTTATAGTGTCACTGAAGAGATTTTTAAAGGTTGTTAAACAAAAAAGAAGGGATATGTGACAGAGATCATATGTGGCCCTTAAAGCCTCAAATATTTACTATCTGGCTCTTCACAGAAATGTTTACTGTCCTCTGGTGACCGTAAATGCTAGCACAGCCAGGTGATCTGATTGAAGTGAGTGCTACTTCTCATGCTGATCTCGCTGATTTAGCTTTTCCTTCTCCTATGTTCCTGTCCCCTTCATGTTTTACTCTTCCTCATATTTTATTGCCCTTACTTATTCATTGTTCACTTACTTCCTCCCCACCCATTCTCTCTTTGCTTAGTATCCAGAATGGTTGCAGACTCACCGAGAATCTCTACCTCCAGAGCAGTTTGAAAAATATCAGGAACAACACAGTGTCATGGGCAAAATATGTGAGCAGTTTGAGGCAGAAACCCCCACAGATAGTGAGGCCACTCAAAAGGCTCGTTTTGAGGTGGTGCTGGATCTCATGCAGCAGGTAAGGCCTCCTCTTGCCGTCTGCCCGCTGCTGCTATCTGCTTGCGTGTTCAGTGGAGGAGGTGTCCTGGAAGGAGGCCTCCCTGCCCAGCCAAGGTGGAGGAGGGAGCACAGGAGAGGCCACATAGCATGGTCTTATCTCTTGTTCCTCTTTCCTTATTTTCCAGCTACAGGATTTGGGCCATCCTCCAAAAGAGCTTGCTGGGGAGATGGTGAGTATACCTTCTCATATACTTTAATCTTAGCCCCGGTTTCCAGTATTTTGTAACCTTTAATGATTTCACCTAAGGTGATAATTGTGGCTGCTGGGGATGGACCTTCAAAAGCTCTAACTTTCTGAAATAGGAGGAGTTATCTGAGTCCCTTCATCTCTTCTCCAGCCTCCTGGCCTCAACTTTGACCTGGATGCCCTCAATCTCTCGGGCCCACCAGGTGCCAATGGCGAACAGTGTCTGATCATGTGAAACACAACATGCTTTCTTCCCTGATTCCCAGCCGTGGGGGAACGTCTGGAGTCAGCAGAACCACTGGGAGCTGAGGCAGGAGTGTCGTCCACAGGAGTGGTCTGCCCACTGCCATCTGTCATCCCACCCAAGATTGTGCCATACCAGCGGAGGCTTTTTCTCTGTCTTTCTAGGAATAAGGCCTGTTCTGCAGATCATTTCTGTGAACCCTTTCCATTGTGGTTTCTGCTGCTAGCAAAGGCCCAGCTACCTACCAGGTGAAGGAAGGTGTCCCTTTTGGGGCATGCACCTTCTTTCCTCTCCCAAAATAATGTTATACAGGGCCACATTGAGTTACTTTTGTACCCAGGGTCTTCGTGCCTTGTGTCTACTCCCTGTCTTGGACCTGGGGAGCAGGGACAGAGTCCTAGGACTCTATATTTCTATAGTTCTCTTGGGCAGCACCTGTGGGAATGAATGGGGAGAAACTTAGCCTAGGCTGGGGGTTTAGGTCTGTCACCACACCCTCTTGCCTTCAGACTGTCCTGAATTCTCTGAAGGGAAAGTAAGTGGGGGGGCTTTTGCATAAAAATGCTACTCTTTCACAGTAGGTTGAAAGAGGAGCCCTGGGATTCTCCTCTCTCCAGGTACAGAGTCCTCAATTGCCTGTTCCAGCCTGAGAACTCAAGTAGCTGCCCTGTTCTTTCTATAATGCTATGTGATCTGGGTGAACTCAGCCCTTGACCTTCCTTTACCCCCTGCCTCTCCTCTCATCTCTCTATTTTAAATACCTCTTTATTCCAACCCTTCTCTGAGCCCAAACTGTGACAAAGAAGGGCCCATCCTGTTTCCCCTCATCTAGTCCATCCACCACCCTCACTGGCCCCCGCATCTCCCTGGCAAATGTATATGATTATAGTGTCAGGTCTAGGAAATGAATTACTGTTCTTCCCCAGACACATTTTGGCTTATTTGAGACATCTGATTCCTTTGAATCCTGTTCATTGATTCAGGGAGGTAGCTTGGGAAAGGGGGGGTGGGATGCAGCCTGGGTCCTTTTTCCTGACTAATAAATATTCTGAGTGAGGGATTGAGCCTGTTTTTCATCCAAGTCTTTTCCTAATCTTCCTCAGCTTCTCTAAGCTGCCGTGTGAGGAATGTTAGCATAACATTGCATTACTGGGTTCTACCACCACTTCCCTTCCCCAGCTCAGTCTGCACCTCAGTTGGCAAAGGAGACTGAATGGCCATCTTTCCTCATTTTCTCTGAATATTTCAATTTGGGAAGCCCTTCGATTGGTATTGTATTTTAACATTTCACAGTATTATTATTAATGTTAGTAATATATTGTTAACATGTTTACTAAATTATTTTTCTTCGAGCTGACCTTGCTTTTCTCTGTGGGAACCAGTGAATCTGTAGACCTTGGCTGCCACATATTGGTGGATACTCTGATCAGACCAGCTGGCTGTCCTGGTTCAGCACTGAGAAAATAACTTCCAGAGCAAATTTGTACTTACCATTTGTGGCACTTTGAGCTCCTGACATGTCACTTTCCCTTGGATTAAGACTTTTCACCCCTTAATATCCCACACATTCTGTGGTATTGGCGAGGAAGGAAATGTTCTTAAGGCCTGAGGTTGTTTGGGAAGGTCCAGCTACTGTACCTTAAAGTACAGAAGAGCCCGGGTCTGAATCTGAGACTCCTCTCCTCTGCAAGAGATGGGAAAGTGCAGGCAGAGTTGTGATGATGGTCACAGGACGTGAATGGCCAAAATTCTCTCCTTATAACTAGCAAAAACTGGATGAGGAAAGAGAAAAAGGAGGGAAGAACGAAAGGGCCTTGCACCTTGAGCTATGTGCCAGTTTCCCTTTACACATTCTCACTTCTGCTGGCCTGGCCAGGGCTTACGCCAGGAACCTAAACAGATGCCACCTTAGTTTTGTTCCCAGGCCATTCATTTTCATTTTGATTTTGATTGAACATGAACAAATTGACCTCAGGTTACTCTCTGTTCCAAAAATACTATTTGAATTATTCTAGGACTTGTGGAAAGATGGAGCGGTCCTTCTCAAACTGTGGTAAAGGACCAGGTTTTTTGTTTTATAAGTATCCTGTCCTTTGTCCACCAATATGTGTTCCATATGTGCAGTTCACACTGTGGGCTACCCACCACACAAGTTTGACAACACCAAACTGACAGACCTCTTCCACAGGATAAGGCCACTGATGATGCATTTGGATATTATAGCAGTCAAAATGCTAGGGACTTCCCTGGCAATCCAGTGGTTAGGACTCCGAGCTTCCACTGCAGGGGTCATGGATGGGTTCGATCCCTGGTTGGGGAACTAAGATCCCGCATGCCCCATGACGCGGCCAAATAAATAAATAAATAAAAATAAAAAACAAAATGCTAAAAGGTTTCTGAACACATTTAATTTCTAACTCATTCTTGTCGCAGACTGGTGAAAAACTGTTCACAGACCAGTACAAATTTCCAACCACCTGAGTAGCACTGCTCTAGGGCCCTCCTCAGTCTCTCCACAGTTGCATCAGCCAAAGGGATACATTTCTATACTTGTTCCATGTGAGGGTTGCTTCTACTGAACCTTTTCTTCAGCAAGAATGTGTCGCTATAAGGACGTTTCTAGTATTTTTCTAGCCTTCCTTTGCTGCTTAAAATAACCATCACAAAGCTTAGGTTTAAGCTGTAAAGTGTTTATGCTGCTCTCAAACTTTAAAGGAAGTGCCCCTTTGTTCCAAAATTCTGTACATTAGAAAACAAATTTGTAATTGTTTGGATGGTTTAATTAAGAATCAAGTTAGTACTGTGATAATCATGTTCCTATGATTCTGGAACATCCTGGCAGGGGCCCCATGAGGTGCTTATAATGTGCTGTTGAGATGGCTTTTTGGGAGCTTGGGAGAAACGATGGCCCACAGTAAATGAAGTAGAGATGACAGACCATATGAAAAATGATCAAAAGGCTTAGAGGAAGTGTGCATGCAAGAATGAATGTATAGTTCACTGGAAAACCCACCTGCTGACTATGTTTCTCAGGAAGGCCTCCGGAAAATTTTGTATAAAAGAAAGGCACTAATGAAGGGGTCACCAGCATGTTTGAGAAGTTAAGAAGTGGTTGTCTCTGTGGGTGGAGGCTGATGGAAGAGGATGTTTAAGAACTGGTTTCCTTAGTAGTGGTGGGGCTAATAGGATCCTAGCATTTGGCCCTGATAGCAGAGGCCAAATGGCAACACTTAACTCTCAGAAGCAGGGTGGGTGAATTTCCATAAGGGCAGCACGGTCAAGGTGGAGGTGGCTAATGGAACGTGGGTGGTCTTAGGGACCATATAGATGGACAGTCAAGTAGGGTATTGATTTACATATAATTAAGAGTGACCAAGAATGGTTGAACAGAAGGCTGAGGTCAGTAACTTCAATGAAAAGTCACAATTCCTTGCCTAGTTTATAGGCCTGAGACAGTTGTCGGACTCAATCTATCAATTGAATGCACAATTTACTTAGTTAATCATACACTAGGGAAAGAAGACTACCCAAAATTTTTGAGTTGGAAAACCAGGGATACGGGGTCTGCGTTACACTGATACCAGGGACCCAGAGCACCATCACAGTACCTCCCATTCCTGCATTCCCCCCGCCCCACCTCACCCCAATTACAGTAGGAAAATATAGGGTCAGATAATAAATGGAGTGCTTGCCTAGGTCTGTCTCACAGTGGGTCCCAAAATCCACTTTATGGTCATTTTTCCAGTTTCCCTAGATAATCAGAATGGACATATTTGGTAGTTGGCAGAGAGCCCAAGTAGAAGTCCCTGAAACTGCACCCGCACCTCTGCCAAAATAGTAAATAAAAAGTAATATTGCATTCTGGGGGAAATGGCAGCAATTCGTTACACTCTTAAAAACTTAAAAGGGTGCAGGGATGTTGGTCCCCATCATATCCTCATTTAGTTTCACCATTCTGGTCCTTGCAAACATTGGGTGGGATGTAATGGACTACAATGGACTGCTGTAAACTTAAGCAGTTAGTAGTCCTGATTGTAGTACTGTGATGGATGTATTTTCTTTTTTTCTTACTTTTTTTTTTTGCATTGTAACTTCATAATATGATTTTATACATTTATTCTGAGAAATAGAATAGAAAAGCAGCCACTGGCAAGCAGGAGCTGTTCTGGCCCTTACAAGTAGGTCTTGATATTTTTCTGTTGAACACAACCAATTTTACATCAGACAAGCTTCATCTCTGGCCTGTGTAGTTAACGAGACACTTCACCTGCAAAGACATGTTGAGTCCACACTCAGTCTGAGAAAACATCAGCTCTCTTTCCTGGTGTCAGGACTTAAGGAAGCTCAAGTTCTTGATGTCTCATCACAGAAAGAATTCAGTGAGAGAAAGTGATAGGTAAAAAGTGGATATATTTAGAGAAACACACTTCACAGACAAGAGTGTGGGCCATCTCAGAAGGCAAGAGGCCAGATGTATTTTCTTTACTGGAGAGTGACGCAGCCTCTGATATATTATGTGGCTATTAATATGTACCATCTGGCCTTTTTTACAGAAAGTTTCCTGATCTAGTGAATATATTCTTTCAATACTAATAAGGAAGAATCAGAAGCAGTTGGAATCGCAAGTGATGGGCAACAGTATATGTTCACAGTTCTTTTTTTAAAAATATTTTATTTATTTATTTGGTTGTGCTAGGTCTTAGTTGTGGCAGGCGGGCTCCTTAGTTGTGGCTTGCCAGCTCCTTAGTTGCGGCATGCATGCGGGATCTAGTTCCCCGACCAGGGATCAAACCCGGGCCCCCTGCATTGGGAGCTCGGAGTCTTAACCACTGGGCCACCAGGGAAGTCCCTATGTTCATGGTTTTGATCTAGAGCTATGTTAATTTTTCTCTCTTTCACAGTATAGTCCAAAAGGACCTGGATATTCTGTAGAATATCACATTTGTTTGCTTTATTAAGCTTATGCTACTCAGGTATTAAGGATATGCTAATCAGATCTGAGGAACAAGCAGTGTCAAGTATTCTGGATTCCTTGGTGAGACACATACACTCCAGAGGGTGAGAGAGAAATTCTTCAAAAGATGCAGGGCCCTGCCATGTTGGTTAGGTTTTTAGGTGTCCAGTGATCTGGAGCATTCTGGGACATCCTCTCTAGTAAAGGTAAGTTATTGTATCTTGTGTCTTTTACCATAAGAAAGTAGCAAAATACCTTGGTAGGCATATTCCAGTTTTGGAGGCAGCATATTTTTGAACTTGGGAATGCAAGAAAGGCCTCTACAGCAGGTCCAGCCTATGATGCAAGCAGTCCTGCTGCTTGGGCCATAAGACCCAGAAAATTCCATGGTACTAGAGGTATCTGTGGTAGGAAAATATGTGTGTGGATTCTCTGGCAATCCACAGTAGGAGAGTTCCAGCACAGACCTCTTGGTTTCTGGAGTAAGGTGATGCTTCCTGCAGTAGAGAAAGTTTTACCATTGCAAAGCATCTCCTGGCATACTGTTAGGTCCTGATAGAGATTCAGTGCCTAACCACGAAATATCAAGTGACTATGTGACCAGTTGCCCATATAAACAGCCTGTTATTGTCAGATGTTTCAAATCATAAGATTGGGTGGATACAATAGCAATACATATTAAAATGGAAATTGTACAGTTTGGAAGAAGCCCAAGCAAATTTGGCACAAGTAAGTTAAATTGAACAAAGGGCCCCGGGCCTCCATATTACCTGCATCTGTTGCACTAATACCTTTCTCTTAGCTCATGCCTATGGCAACATAAGAATTCCTTCAACCATTTGACAGAGGAGGAAAAAATCCAGGTCCGGTTTGTGGATGCTTTGTCTTGATCATGTTAGGGCAAGCCAAGTATGGACTACTGCTTCTCAACCGCCTCTTCCTGAGTGGTCCTGAAAGACAGTGATGAGGGGAAATTCTCTCAATGAGTAGGGCTTTAGGCAATTTACTTGACCATCTGCTTTGGAGAGAGTAGTGGCTGGAGGCAAGTATATACATGAACTCACAGTCAGTGGGCTGGTTGGTCAGAGGCCCAGAAGGAGCAAGATAGGA